AATCGTAGCGTCGTTCTAAAGCTCGTTCGTAGAGCCTATCGTCGAGATCGATCGTAACCTTAACTAATGTTCCTATATTATCTATTTTTCTACCGTCGCGTATAAGCTCGTCTTTAACGTTATCCTTAAGACCTCGCCGATATATTGTTATAAGAGCTTCGTCGTCCTAATCCGTAAGTTAGGCGTATTCCTAAAATTTAGCGGCGTAATCGGTATATAACCCCTTCTAAGTTAAGTGTTAGATAACCCTAACTACTATAGCAACCTCGTTAGAAGATCTAAAGACCTTCTTTATCGTACGCTTAAGATATTCGTAGCTTGCGAAGATTCTATCCGAATTGTCGGTCCCGTTACTATCTAGATAGGTCCTAAGAAATAGTTTAACCTAATACTAAGCCCTACCTCGTATAAACGTCGTTGCGAAGACTAGCTTTAAGTTATCTTAAACCTAGTTAAATATAAAATACATATCTATCTAGCTAATCTAGGTATCGAACTTGTCTCGGTCGCCGTAATAAAAGTCTAGCTTTCCGATCTTAAGGGAATCGTTTCCGGTATAGGTTCCTAGTGCACTGCTAATACTAGAGGTAGTACGTCGAGTACTACCTATCTCGCTAGGGGCGGGAGTTCCCCTTCCGACTTGTAATAAGGCACTTATCCTAAGGGCGTTTAAAGTGTTACGGTTACTTGCGACAGATCGTTAGGTAACTTCTTATTACGTACAAGCCGAGGCTTCTTTAGAGAGGCTAATATAAGCAGGAGGCAGAGATAGAATAATTAGTACAAAGGTAATTCCAATTAGTAAGTAGGTAATATAAGTTAAACGCCTCGAGCTATAAGGGCATTCCGGCGTTCCTAAATACAAAGGAGATATCTTGTCTATAGTCGTAAGCGACGTAAGCGACGCTATCGCTCTCGACCGCTCCTATCGCTCCTAGTAAGATAGAGCGACAGCTTAGCCTACTAGTCTTAGCGTCGCTCTAAGATTATATAAGGACTCTAACTAATCAGATCCGTAACATATTACTAGCGACAGGGGTACAAATTAGATAAGTATCTTCTAGAGGGAAATATATCGACTACTTAGCGTAAAACAGAGGTTAAGCTCCGCTTACTACCTATAAACCGACGGAGGCCCGGAGCGCGTAAACTAAGATATTCAAGCGTACCTACGGAACTATATTAACTAAATATAGTCCGACTAGAACTAATAGCTTCCTACGGGGGAACTCGCGTTTAACGGGAGACACTAAGCGGGATTAGGAATAAGCTCTTTCTTCGCGACCTACGGCTACGAATCTACCTCCCCCGTTTCGCTAGAAGAGGACCTAGCTATCGATAGGCGGCTAACTATAGCGAAACGAGCGGAGGAATTCGTAGATAAGATTAAGAAGATCTTAGACCTATACTAAGTACAAATAGCGGAAGCAGTATAGAAACAAGAGGAAAGTGCGAATAAGACTAGGACGCTAGCGCCGGTATACCGTATCGGAGACAAGGTCTAGCTCGACCTAAGGAATTACTAGACGGATAGACTAAAAAAGAGCCTCGACTCGAGATACGCTAAGTATACGGTAGAAGAGGTATTATCGCCTATCTTAGTATAACTCTTAGGGATACCTAGTAACATTTACCCGGTATTCTATACCGACCTTCTAAGACTTGCGAGTAGAGACCCCCTTCTAGGGTAGGTAATCGACGACGAATAGCCGGACTCTATTCTATTCGAGACGTATAAAGAATAGTAGGTCGAAGAAATCCTATATACTCGCAGAGTCGCAAAAGGAAGTAAGGCCGGGGACGAGAAGCGCTTATAAAATAGAGCAGGTACTATAAACCTACGTAGGAACCCCTAGACTATATCGCGGATACCTTAGCACTTAACGACTTCGAAGCGAGATACGGATAAATCGAGGAGAACGAAGGACCTCTAGGAGACTAGGAGAAGAAAGGGAAACAGAGGAAATAACGCGGTAACCTAGAGTTTATCTGCGAAGCAACGAGGGTCGATTTATAGTTTTAGGGATTTTCGCTAAGTTTTAGAGTTTTTTTTTTTACTAACTTATTAGCTTTTGTTTACGAAGTATTTAGGGCTACTAGAAATGTTAGAGAAGGGAAACATAATTTAGGATAGAAAAGAATTTTATTTAGGTATTTATAAGTAAGTATCGGGTCTCCGCCCGAAATTAGTGTTAGAGGCTATACGTAATTGGTATGTAACTAGCTCGAGTAAAGCTAGGGTCTTAGTGCCTTAGGCAGGGCTTAGCGCTTAGCGTTAGGCTAACTAGCCTGCCTTCCTCCTTCTCCTCCTAGTTCTCTATCGAATACTACTCGTACCTACTACTACCCTATCTACCTACTAATATAACCCTTCTTATATAGTATTCGATCTACCCTTTAAGGGCAGCAGCTAGATAGTCCTTATTTCAAGCTTTTAGCGGTATAGCTACCGTGACAACTAAGACTAACCTAACTATATTGCGCCCGAAGAACGGGACCTATACGTACTATTCTATCGAAACAACCGTACTAATCATTAAGTAAGGCCTTCTACACGGCCTATTATACTAAGTTAAGTACACTAGGCCGATATCTACTAATTCCGCTATATCCGTATCTTAGGGGCTAATAATATATTATTAGTATCGCCCCTTACAATAGCCGGCTTATTACGTAGTAACAACAACCGCGGCGCCGCTAGCAGCGCTAGCAATAACAACGCTAGTAGCACAGTTCCCGCTAAAGTGCCTGCTAAAGTGCCTCCTACTAAAGAGCCTACCGGAGAGCCTATTAAAGAAGAACCTATAATTCTAGGTAATAATCTAGAATTGCCTGCTAACGACATTCTTAACAATATTGTTAATCGACGATATAGCTAGCTAGCCTTTAGCCCCTAACTAGTAGGGAGACTCTAAGAAGCTACCTAAAACAGGCTTACTGCCCTACGTTAAGAACAATAGCTAAAGGATAATCTCCTCGAGATTCGCCGCCTATAGGAAGCCCTAACAACTAACACCGAGCCGACAATAGGGCCTTCCTTACTATTAGTCCTAATTCAAAAGAAGGATGCTAAGCTTAAGGACTATACCGTGTTTAATAGCTCTAGCCGAAAGCAGTATAACGATTATATTCGTAACTGTAAGCTTAACTAGCGTAATGCACTAAGAGCGCTACCAGACGACTATTCCTTAGTCGTATACGCTATATAGTATATCAATAGCGACCTAAAACGTATATAGGATGACTATTTTGATTCCCTTTACGACTAGACCGCTGTTTAATAGCAAGACTATAAGACCGTTATACTAAACACCCTTAGAAACCCTATACTAAGGCAACAATATACTTAGGACTAGTACCTTCGAGCTAAATAGAAGACTAATTAATCGGCTCGCTTATTTGAAGCCTATTTAAAGACCCTCGAAGATAACCTTCCGGCTAAAACCGACTCTATATAGATCTCCGAAATACGCCCTAAACTAAGGTAGGAGCTTGTCCTTAAATTGGACCGCCGCCGTGTATTCGAATAGGCTAATCTTACGCGAATTCAATTTATAATCGAAGTAGAAACTATAGAGCGTATAGTATAGCTATAGCAACGGTTAGAATCTAAGATACGACTATCTACTAACTATAGCCGCGGTAGAAACTAAGGAGGAAGTACTCCCTAAACGAACACTGCTAACAATAGAAACAGTAACGACTACTAACGTAGAAGAGGCAGGGGCCGATACCGCGGTAGAAACCCCTAGCGAGGAAGAGGGCAAGGAAGGGGCTCATTTCTATATATCCCTAATCGTTTATCAAATTCTAGTACTAATCCGAGCGGACCTAGTAGCGCCCTAACTAGATACAAGTGCTTCAATTATAATAGTACTACCTATTTACTAGGCTAATATAATAAGCCTCGAGACTAGGCCCGAGTCGATCGTGCTGCCGCCGAATACCGAAAGTACCTCTTAGCCGCTAATGCTACCCCTATTAGCCCTTCTAACTATTCGAAAAAAGAATAAGCGCCGTACTAACTGTTAGCCTTGTGCGGCGTAAGACTATCGACATTATGCTAGCTATTACACGTACCTATCTCGTATCGGATACGCATAGAACTAACTATAAGACTAAGGTTATACTAGATCTAGGAAATTTAGTTAGTGCCCTTATTAGCTATCGCCTAGCTAAGCAATTAGACCTTCGACAACTGCCTAGGACTAACCTACTAACCCTTGCTTAGTTTAATAACGCTCGGCACTTGACCTACGGAGCCTACTATATCTATATAGCCCTAAGAGACGACCTCGGTAATAAGCGCCTACTAAACTTCACTGCCTACGTAGTAGATATAGACAGCCTCCTATCTAACATTGTTATTAGCAACCCTGTTCTTAAGTACTATACTATAGTTATAGACTTAGGCAGTTAATAATAGCGATTTAGAATCGCTAGGAAAGAGGACATTAAACACATCGATGTTAGCGAGTGCCCTAACGATATTAGGGTCCTGTTTATTAGTAACCTAATACTAGCCTCCGCCTTAGCTAATCCGACTGCCGATTTGCTCGGTAGTAATAACGATGAACCTATGCCCCCTAATAATCCTAATTAGCTTGCTCGCATACCGGAGCCTATTCGAGAGACCTATATTAATGTATTCGAGCACTACCTAGCATCGACATTGCCTATATTTAAAGAGACGGATTATAAGATTAATATTATAGAGGGTAAAGAGGTTCCTTTTAGGCTACTCTACAACCTTAGTAAGCGCGAGCTTGCTATATTGCGTAAGTACCTAGAAGAAAACCTAGCTAATAGTCGTATTCGGTATAGTAACAGTCCTGCTAGTGCACCTATCCTGTTCGTACTAAAGAAGGATAGTAGCCTACGCCTATATGTTAATTACCGTAGACTTAATGCTATTACTATTAAAGACCGCTGTCTACTTCCGCTTATTAACGAGACCCTCGATCGCCTTTCTAGCGCTTACTACTACACTATATTAGATATCAAGGATGCATACTATCGCATCCGCATCCGTAAGGGTAATAAATAGAAAACAGCCTTCCGCACCTACTATAGCTATTTCGAGTACTTAGTTATACTATTTAGTCTAGCTAATGCCCCTATAACATTCTAGTCCTATATCAATCGGGCCCTTTCGGGCCTATTAGACTACCTCTGTGTAGTTTACCTAGATAATATCCTAGTTTATATACACTCCCCTAACATTGCGGAGCACTAGGCTATAGTCCGTAAGGTCCTCGACCGCCTACGAGCCTATAGACTATATTACAAACCTTCTAAATGCACCTTTACTACTAAAGAGGTGTTATTCCTCGGCTTCCTCGTATTAACCGAGGGTGTTAAGGCTAATCCTAATCGGATTAAGACTATTACTAAGTAGCTAATACCTACTAGTATTAAGAAGCTTTAATCGTTCCTCGGCTTCGCTAATTTCTACCGCCGTTTTATTAAGGGCTATTCGAGGCATGTAATGCTATTAACTGAGCTTACTAAGACTAAGGCAAACCCTTCTAGAGAGTTTAGGTAGACTAATAAGACACAAGCCGCTTTTGACGGTCTAAAGAAGCGATTTACTAAAGTCCCCTTATTACACTATTTCGTACTAAGCAAGTAGATCCGAATTAAGACTAACGCTTTATAGTTCGCTATATCGGCTATTATGTCCTAGCAATTAGATAATGACTATTACTAGCACCCGATTGCCTTCTTCTCGCGGAAGATAATTAATGCTAAGCGTCGCTACGAGACCTATAAGCAAGAGCTCCTAGCTATTGTCGAGGCCTTTAAGCACTAGAGGCACTACCTCGATAGGGCCTAATATACAATATAGGTCTACATAGACTATAACAACCTCCGTAGCATTACTAAGGTTACTAGGGTTATAGGTCGATAGGCTAGATAGGCCGTCTACCTCGCCGGGTTTGATTTTAATATATTATACCGGCTAGGCGTAAGTAACCCTACCGATAGCCTATCGAGGCGACCTAATTACGACAGCGAGACCTAACACATTAATTCTTTGTTTCTAACCCTATAGTATAAGATTGCTATAGCCCGTATTGTTAATAAGCACGCGTAGGATAAGCGGCTTACCGGACTCCGCGACGGCTTAAAGCATGTTAATGCTCTTACTATATTAATAGTGCGTATTAAGACAAGGGCTAAGGATATAGACAGGAGAAGTTATAATAACTCCCTAGTCGATATTGCTATATATAGTAACAGCGATTAAAGCACTAATGTAGTTAATCCGGCTGCTAGTACTATTAGATGTATACAATACGTACCTCGTTTAATAGCGAGGGTGCTATTAAATAACCTTGCAAATAGGGATAGTTAATCGTTTATAGATAAGCTGTTACGTGCTTAGCAGAGGGACGCCTTTGCTACTAAACGTATCGATAAGCTTATAAGTAGGCGAAAGACTCGATCTAGCAAGAGTAATAACAATTAGTCGATCGACGACAAGGGTTACTTAAAGTTTAAGGGTAGATACTATGTCCCCGCTAAACAATCGATTAGACAAGAGCTTCTTAAGCGACACTATAACAGCAAGCTTGCTAGTTACTATAGTATAGAGAGGTCGCACGAGCTACTATCGCGTATATACTATTAGCTAAATAGTAAGCGGGATATAAAGGAATACGTTAACACGTATGCCGTATACTAACGTATTAAGGCACCAAAGCATTAGCCTTTTAGCGAGTTGTCCTCTTTACTAATCCCTTATAAGCCATTTGTAGAGCTTATAATAGACTTTATTATAGGCCTTCCGCCTACTAAACGTAGGGGCAGTAAGGACGTATACAATGCTATCCTTGTTGTAGTAGATCGATTTACTAAAGGCGCTCGATACATCCCGGCGCGTAAGGATTGGACTGCTATTAATATAGCAGAGGCGCTATAGACTAACATCTTCTATACCTATTAGGGAACCCCTAAGGGGATAGTCTCCGATAGGGGCTCGACATTCATATCGCACTATTAGAGCGAAATATGCCTATAGCTAAGACTGAAGCATCGGCTATTAACAGCCTTCTATCTATAGACTAACGGTTAAACAGAGAGACAGAATGCTACCCTATAGCAGTACCTACGTAGTTATATTAACGAGAACCCTAAGGATTAGGTCAATCTCCTATAACTAGCCGAATTCGTATATAATAACAGTATCTACTTATCTACTAAGGTGTTACCTTATTTCGCTATAATAGGAAGCAACCCTACGCTACTATAAGACCCCCTATCGCTCGAGGCCGAGCGTAAGGAAAGGGAAGCGGGTTAACCTAAGATACTAGCGGCTATTAAGAGGGTTTAGAAGATGCGAGAAATCTATACTAAGATAGCCGAGAAGTTGACAAAGGCTTAAGAGTACTAAAAGACCTACTATAACAAACACTACCTTCTAATAACCTTCAAACAAGGCGATATAGTTATGCTTAGTATAAAGAACCTCCGTATCCGTAAACACCTATTACCCGATAGCAAAACAAGGCCTAAGCTCGTACTAAGATACATTGGCCTATTCCGTATTCGAGAACCGAAGGGTATATAGGCCTACTAGTTATAGCTTCTACCCTATTATACTATCTATAACACCTTCTATATATCCCTCCTTAAGCTATACTATTAACGCGAAGGCGATGAAGCGCCTACTGAGTTAGAAGAAGTCTTAGCCAATAGTGAAGAACTATAGTCTATAGAACGCATCCTATAGCACCGGACTAGGAAAGGCAAGAAGGAATACCTCCTAAGGTAGCAAGGCTATTTACCTAAATAGGACTCGTAGGAAGCTAAAGGTTCCTTTAAGGATATAACCGAGTTGTTAGATAAGTATTAGACTAGCGTAAAGAACAAGAAGAAGGCCAAAAGCTTATAATGTTACTATTAAGGCCTAGGACAATGCTACCCCCGGGGTGCTATTAGCTAACTAATTAGAGGCCGGCAAACCAGGACAATAAGACTATACTAGGCGCGCTACGACGCGTTAATCAATTAATCGCATACTCTTTTAAGGGCTCTACCTCTTTACTAACGCGCCCTACAGGTCCCCCTCTTGTTCCCTTATTCTATCGAGGCCTCGAGGCCTAGGCAATCGGCGAGGACGGCGCGGCCGGCGCGGCTGTATTAGTAACAGTATTGCGGAGTGTGTTGCTATTAAGAAAAAACGGACGCGGCTATGTTAGTAACGGTGTTGCCGAGTTGTTATTAGTTAAAGAAGGAAGTTAGAAGAAGGTAAAGTTAGCGCTAAGACGACTAGCGCCGCTATTATTAAACATTACCTGCTATTGCTACTATACTTGTAAAGACAACCTTACCTATACTACGAGCCTAAAGCACCTTTAATTAAAACTTTGATCAAAACTTTGAGGCCGAGTTAAAACTTTAACTAAGTTAAAAGATTGAGCGACTAATAGACTAACTAAGGGCAAAAACTATAGAGCTAAGCTAGCTGGGGTCGATCTTGCGGATAATAGGTTACTCCTCGATCTTTCCGACCCTTTAAGCGAGGCGAACCTTAACTATTGCACTTATAATAGCCTTTACCTATAGAAACTAGAAGAACTGAGTTTTTTAAAAAGATATAATTAGGTAACACTTAAAGGCTACTAAACCTAACTAATTTAGGCTAGTAAAACCACGATAGTAAATAATAACCCTCGGAAGCGGACAAACCCTCGGGAGCGGACATTGCTAGGTCTTTTAAGAGTAGACGCAAAGAACTCGGTACGACATTACTTAGAGCGGAGGTAGGGCTACAATACCTCGTACGTCTACCTATTATAGTAGGGAAGACGCGCTCGTATTATAATTAGTCGAGGGCCCTCAATTCTTATAGATACATATTACTTTATAGTTTATTATATATAGGGATAGCGCAGTTAGAAGTTGGACATTATGTTAGAAGGTAAGGTTTAATATAGTTATATAATTAGGTAGTTAAGTGTTTAATTTAGCGCAGCTAAGCAGCTTATTAGACTTGCTAAGTTAGCAGTAACGGAGGTCGAGGTTAGAATATAGAAAGGCTACGAGAGCGCGGCCTTTAGAAGGGAAGCGTATATTAGAGGCTATACGTGATTGGCATGTAACTAGCTCGAGTAAAGCTAGGGTCTTAGTGCCTTAGGCAGGGCTTGGCGCTTGGCGTTAGGCCAACTAGCCTGCCTTCCTCCTTCTCCTCCTAGTTCTCTATCGAATACTACTCGTACCTACTACTATCCTATTTACCTGCTAATATAACCCTTCTTACAATTAGGAGGTCCCCTTAGGACTAGAAAAAAAATATAATAACACCTCCGAAACTACCTAGAGCCTACTAGAAAACCTACGGAAACCTTTATTAATCCGGCGGACCGATACGGTTAGTACCGAGACGGAGCGTAGTAGGAATATCCCTAAGAAAGGACGATTAGCGAAGAGAATTATAGGGAGAAAGATAAACTTACGTCTAAGTCTATTGTACTACGACATTAGCAACGGTGTTAGTTACCTCCGAGGCGACAGCGCTAAAAGACATAGTTAGCGAGGGTTTTGTCGCGGGAAACGGGAAATCTTACCTAGATAACAATCCCTACGGCTAGAGAGACTTAAGAGCTTTCTATACCTTAAGAACCTTAAGAAGCTCGGAGTGCTTCTTAGCGACGGTACTACGGGTCGCGCGGGTATAGCTAGCGTAAGCTACGTAGGCTATTTAAGGACTAAATAGTTAGCGAGGGTTTCGGTATAGGAATCGCGAAAACTTATAGTAGAGCGTAGGTAATTCTCTTACGAGCGCAATTAGCGCAGGCCCTCGAGCTAGCGGGCTAAAAAGAAGTTAGCGGACCCTGCGACAAACAGGGCGGGAACCTTATAGATTAATCGGCGTAGTCCTCGCCGGAGTTATAGCAACTAATATAGTAGATTCGACGAGCTATCTAGAACAAGTTAATTTTACGAAGGAAATCGCAGAGTATAGGGAGGTACTTGCTATAGTAGTAGTAGTAGTAGTAGTAGTAGTAGTAGTAGGGATATATATAAAGAAAAAAAGAAGAAGAAGAAGAAGAGGGAAATATTAATACTCCTAGAAAGCGACGCCGAAGTAAAGGTCGCGAAAGCAAAGGAAAGCGCGATTATAAGTAAAGCGTTTAAAAGCGCAGTTACGGCGCGTTCTAGAAGGCGGTAAGTAGGTAAAAGAGCGCGGTTTAGCAGTCGCGAAGAAAGTTATAGTCGTTAAAACCCTAGGTACGGCAACCCCGACTAGAAAGTAGCGGAAACCCCGATCGCAAAGGAGGAAACTACGAGCGCGTTACTCTAGGGAAGCTTAGATAGATATAGATCTAACGGATAAAGTAATAGCGATAGAACCTACGGAGGGCTTTCTATCCCTACTAAGGAAGGGGAGGAGGACGGGGGTAATATAAAGGGCTACGCCCTAGGTAGAAAGCGCTAGCCTTAGGCATTCGGCTTACGCGACTCTAACCTACTGCTTAGCGCTTAGCGTACCGTACAAAACCATTCGGATTTACGTAGATAGACTTAGCTCTTTATCGAACCTATTAAGTCTTATATCTAGCATCTGCGTACGCGTTGCTTACCCGTAACATTTCTACTACTAGTCCCCCGATAAATTATATAGTTTAAAGTATAGAATACTAAATTACTAACTTCTAAATAGAGATAGGTCGATTAGTAGAGGTCGATTAACGGTTCGACTAATAGTTCGATTAATAGTTTAATTAATAGTTCAATTAATAGTTTAATTAATAGTTTAATTAATAGTTTAATTAATAGTTTAATTAATAGTTTAATTAATAGTTTAATTAATAGTTTAATTAGTAGTTTAAATAGAAGTTCGATTAAAAGTAATAGTTTAATTCAAAACGTAAGTAGTAGTTCAATTAATAGTCTAATTAATAGTTTGACTAACTATTTAATTAGTAGTTTAATTAGTAGTTTAATTAATAGTTTAATTAGTAGTTCGATTAGTAGTTTTAGTTTAACGGAAATTTTAATTAGTATTTTAGTAGTAGCTAGTCCCCCGATAAATTATATAGTTTAAAGTATATAATACTAAACTGCTAGCTTCTAAATAGAGATAGGTCGATTAGGAAGTCAATTAGTAGGTCGATTAATAGTTCGATTAATAGTTCGATTAGCAGTTTAATTAGTAGTTTTATTAGTAGTCCGATTAGTAGTTTAATTACTAGTAATAGTTAATTTAAAATTGAATTAGTAGTTTTATTAGTAGTTTTATTAGTGGTTTAGCTAGTAGTTTTATTAGTAGCTTAACTAGTAGTTTAATTAGTAGTTCAATTAGCAAGTTAATTAGTAGTTTAATTAACTATTTAGTTAATAGTTTAATTAGTAGTTCAATTACTAGTTTTAGTCTAACGGAAGTTTTAATTAGTATTTTATTAGTAGCTAGTCCCCCGATAAATAATTAATTAGTCGTTTTATTAGTAATTTCACAAATAGCTTAATTAAATATTTAATTAATAGTTTAAATAGCAGTTCGACTACTAGTTTTAGTTTAACGAAAATTTTAATTAGTATTTTATTAGTAGTTTCTTTAATAGTTTTATTAGTAGTTTTTTTAATAGTTTTATTAGTAGTTTTGTTAATAGTTTTGTTTCTAGTTTAGTTAGTAGTCTTAGTACTTTAATTAGTAGCCCTATTCGTAGGTTAGCTCGTAGTCTTAGTAGTTTTACTAGTAGTTTTATTAGTAGTTTTGTTAACAGTTTTATTAGCAGTTTTATTAATAGTCCTATTAGTAGTTTTACTAATAGTTTTACTATTAGTGCTAATTGAGTTATTAGTTTTATTATTAGTTTTATTTTCAGTTCTATTATTAGGTTTACTAATAGTTTAGCTAATAGTTTATCTAACAGTCTATCTAATAGTTTACCTATTAGTTTAATTAATAGGTTTATTAATAGTTTTCTTAATACCTAGTCCTACTAGTAGTTGCCTACTAGTAGCCCTACTAATAGTCTAATAGTCTAAAGTTACTAGTAGCTCTACTAATAGCTTTATTAAAATTAATAGTACTATTAGTAGTCTTACTAATATTTTCGCTACGGGGACCTTTATACTAATCGATAGGCTTCGCATTTAGTAGGATATAGCTATATCTAGGTCTTTAGTATACGTTAAGCTCCTACTAAATTTTTATTAGCTTATTACGCTTATATCCGGGGTTCGTTAAGCGCTTTCGATTTACGTTCTTCGCTAAAATCCGGGATAAGTTAGACTTTAAGTTCCCTTTAATCTTTAATTAAATATTACTTCTACTAAAATTCTTAGCTAATTATTTCGGTCTTAGCGGATAACTTAGATTTTCGCGGGCAGTAGGCGCGGTATCTAGATTAGTAGCTACGGTACTAATTATTTCGGTATTAGCGGACAACTTAGATTTTAATACTAGTATTAGCTAGTAACCGGCCCTATATATATAGGCTAGGGTTTAGGCCTATAAAAGAGGCCTCCTTCTAGTATATAGTAGATAGATTATTAACCTCGTATAGTATACTATTTATATTATAATTCTATAGTGCCTATATTGCAGGGCTCTAGTTACTAGCCTAAGCGACTTGTTTGTTATCCTATCTTGCTAAACATAGCTACCTATATTGTTATAGGTTATATTACCCTCGGTTGCCTATACTATTACTACTAGTAGTAGTTACGGTAGTAGTATTAGTTTCCGTCCTTTACTAGCTAATACTAGCTAATAGTCCGAGCTAATACTAGCTAATACTAGCTAATACTAGCTAGCTAACACTAGCTAATACCTACGCTAAAATCCGGGGCAAGCTAAATTTCCCTTTAATATTTGTTTCGATTAACGTTCTACGCTAAAATCCGGGGTAAGTTAAATTTCCCTTTAATCTTTAATTGAATATTACTTCTGCGAAATTTCTTAGCTAATTATTTCGGTCTTAGCGGACAACTTAGATTTTCGCGGGCGGTGGCCGCGGTATCTAGATTAGTAGCTGCGCTGCTAATAAACAAGGGCCTGTCCCTTAGTAGGCGTATAAACACAGTATATACTGTAAGCAACGCGTGTTAGGCTTGTTTCTAACTAAGATACCTAGAGGATACGCTAAGCACGGGCTGCTATATAGGTTGATTCCTACTAAGGCTATAGGAATACCTTATATATAGCGTCTTCGTATTCGTATGTCGGAGCGACCGCTAGGTAACAGGTAGCTATTTGCTACAATCCTTGCTTTTTAAGATATAGGTTGTGCTAGCTTTTGCTCCGATATACGAAGACGCTATATACTATAGAGATAACGTGTTTATACTACCTAGTCCTTAGTATACGGTAAACCTAAATTACTAATCTTAGCCTAATCTGGCATAGCAAAGGATATCGGTAGTCCGCGTAAGAGGCCTAGCAATATATACGGCCGAATCTCGCACGACTAGGGTTTGTCGCAATCCCGGATAGCCTTTCGCGAGGCTGTGTTGCTCTTTATACTTCTATGTTCTATATTAGGGTTAAAAATACTAAGACCTCTCGAGTCCTATACGTTCTCTAAAAAATACCTCGATAGCGTAGTAGCAATTTCATTTATAAAAGATAGATAAAAGATAAACAAAAGATAGATAAAAGACGAACAAAAGATAAACAAAAGATAAGCAAAAGACAAATAAAAGATAAACAAAAGATAAACAAAAGATAACGAAAAGATAACTAAAGAATAACTAAAAGATAACGAAAAGATAACGAAAAGATAACGAAAAGATAACTAAAAGATAACTAAAAGATAACTAAAAGATAACTAAAAGGTAACTAAAAGATAACTAAAAGATAACTAAAAGATAACTAAAAGATAACTGAAAGATAACTGAAAGATAACTGAAAGATAACCAAAAGATAACCAAAAGATAAACAAAATATAAACAAAATATAAATTTATCTTTTATTTATCTTCTAGCCTACGTCTCGAAAAAATGCGATGTCTTGGCATTCTCAACCTTAACGCAAAACACAGTTAGTTGGTCTCTTCTCGGAAGAACTTCCTACTACCTTTACTGCTTGCTTGTCTTGCTGCCAGCCCCCTGTGGATGCAGCGAATGCTTTGCCGAGTTCGACGCGGCACTGTGAATGGTCGCTCCGGATAGCAAGGAACGAGGACATTGTAATACTGTTCTCGCTGCGATCCGGTCCTGAGGAGGGAATGGAGAGCATGCGGACAGGCGGGCGTGGGAGAGGTTGTGGTGTCGCAGATCACGCGAATGACCCGGGCTTATCAGAGAAAGAGCGAGGCTACAACAGGAGCAAGAAGCTGCAGGATGGGCTTCTAGTGACCAGCGACAGGCTGCGAATGGTGTCGTCGCTTTTGTCGGCCGTATTCATATGCAGGGCACACACTCTTTCTTCTTCTGACTCAGCAAGATCTTTGAGAGTTTGTGCCTGAAGATCCAGTTTTACCATTGACTCCAATGTCAAAATGTCATTCTGCGGGTTCTTGAAGGTTCTGCACTCAGACCTCCTCATCAGTTGCTGGCCTGGCTTTGAGGCGGTCGGTTGCCATGCGAACGTTGAGTCCGATGGTGGTAGCCGTTATGTCGAGGCATAGATCGTCGAATGGGCGAGGCTGACACGCATCTCATCTCGAGACATCCATGTTCGGGGAGTACACCGACTGACGTTTGACAGTCACATCCTTGGCATGGCTGTATATCAAGCGCTATTCTTGTGAGATTAAAAGCAAAACCAGGCGATCATACCGTTACATGTCGCGTGCGTACGTGGCGCCGCCTTACATCTGACTTCAAAAGCAGGGGTTCGATGTCGACGTCGATCCTAAGCCGGGATGATGACAATTGACAAACCCCACGCAAGCGACATGTGATAATGATGTTGTGCGACTACAATATCTCCACTCAAGTACGGATGCAGGAATCCATCAGATTCCTCAGCAGAACTTATCGATTCTCAGCTCGCCTGCCGGCCTCTCCCGCCAGTACATCTTGTCGAAGCAAATAATGTCATCGACAATCATTCCTACAGAAGCGTTGAATCCTTTGGGCCAGAAATTTGAGCGCCTGTTCCTCCAAGCATGGGAAGCATTTGAGGAAGAAAGATTCGATGAAGCAAATAGCATCAGCCATCGACTTGTCAAGGAGCCCTTGATTGGAGACCTCCACAAGGCTGGATGCCATCTCATTTTGGCGCACAGTCCGGATGAATATGTGTAAGATGAGCCTCTCTTCCAGAGTACAGTGCTGACTGACGCGTTCGTAGCTGGCATGCCGAACAAGCTGTCGAGCTCTTCAAAGGGTTGTACTCAGACCCCAGATATCCGCCGGATGAGGAGCAGAAGTGAGCAGAAGACCGTCTGACAGTCTTCCCATTACAGCAGCTGACGCGTTTTGACTCCCCAGGCTCAGTCAAGATGAACTGGTGAAAACTGCGGAGAACGTCTTGGAACGAGCGCGAGAGGATGCGAAGATGTACAGACAGTAGCCGCTGGTTTTCGATTTGAGCAGTGCTGACACTCCCCGGCAGGTATGCTGAGAGGTCTGACAGCCCGCAGCAGGACACATATGTGATGCATTCGCAGCCAACGCGGGCCAATACTCAGAAGCTGCGAACCATACTCGAGGACAGGAAATCCAAGCCCAGAACATGATTGCGTGATTCATGGGAGATCGTCCAGTCTCACTGCGACACTGCAAACCTTCGCCCGTTCAAGATGGCTTTTCGAGGGCCGCAAGTTGAGTGAACGTGTATGGGGAAGCAGAGCTGCGTAGCTGCTCCGCTCTGAGTTCCAAGCATTGGTACAGGAACTTAGACGCAGACCAGCGTCCTGGCATCAGCTGCAACATCGGAAGCGCCTGTTGCGTTGCACCCAAAGCACCGCTTATTCGCTCTACCGCTGCAGTCCCAAGATGAGATCTTCATGCTCGCATGTCCACGACATCGACGGCCTGTTTCTTCGGACTTCTTTCAGATTGATACTAGACTGGTTGCTTTGCATGTGGAAAGATCACGTGGAGAAAGGTTCGTTCCCGCGTTGAAGAAGGACGAGGAACGTGTGATTGCAGGACGTGGAGGTACTGGATTGCATTGGCTGGGCGAAGTGATACACCACCTTGACCTTGAGAATCAGTGACGGCGTACCATGTGCGCATCAAGAGGATCGAAGGTGTCAGCGACTGGAGGATGTCTGCGTGTATATCGCAGGTGCATGAGAATGGGATGGATTGACCGAGAGAAGTTGGTAGAGTAGCAAGATACATGTATGTGTCCTTGCTGACAGATTTGTATTGAGCTTTTCGTGGCGCAAATCAGATCACACCTGCAGAGCATCACCCTTCGCGTGCTGCACCACACGAGGCAAGTGCAGCAAAGCAAAGCACGTGCTTGCCCTTGCCGTTGCCCTAGAAGTGTTTGTGCTGGCGCACTAACATCGATTCCTGAATTTGTTCTTCTGACCTACTCTCACATCGTCCACGCCAGACTCAGAAGGCAGCTTCATCAGAATGGCTTCAAGTTCCGCATCAAAGAAGGCGAAGGCGAGGAAGAGCTTCGTGTCGGTCCGTCAAGAGATTGCTGCTGGCATGGTTCCTGCAAACACGACTGGCACCATGCTGAGCAAGAGGCAACTCAGCCGGCTAGCAGATCTAGAATCGTCCGTAAAGCGATAGCTCTGGCATGGTTCCTGCAAACACGACTGGCACCATACTGAGCAAGAGGCAACTCAGTCGGCTAGCAGATCTAGAAATCGTCCGTAAAGCGATAGCTGCTGGTGTGCTCCCCGCTGACACGACTCGCACCAGATTGAACAATACCTAGAAAAAGTGCCTCGCAGCTCTCGAACGCGCCGGAAAGTCACGACGAAAGCTGTTCGATATTCCACAAGACATTATCAAGGTCATCTTGGGACTGGCATATGCCAATGATCAGCAGACAGTCACTGTGAGCGAGAAAGGTGGGCGAGCGGCGACAAAGGTCGAAGACTTTCTTGTCTCGAAGGCCTACTTCGTGGTCGCCGCCCCTGCGTACGTGGGTGACCGCGTGTTCCAAATCCAAGACCGATCTCTCTTCCAAGGCATAATAAACGCGTACGCCACCAGAATCATCATCACCGATGCGCTGTCTCTAGAACATTGGATGAAAGGCGCCTTCGCCAACGTGAGGAGGATGGAAATGCAATTGTCCGACTGCTGTCTACAGGGGTGGTACACAATTGAATGGCGCCAGGAACAGACAAAGAGACAAACGGAGCTCAGTTGGCTCTCGAAGAAGGGTCGGGAAGTTCTTGGAGGCCTAGAGTCGCTCAGCGTAACTTTGAGTCGCATAAAGGCAGCCCTTGGGCCATCTCCGCATCGTGCCCGCACGATCGACATCTGTCGCAAAAACGCAGAGGTCTTCGAATCGGTTGTTAGCAAGGCAGTCGCGCTGTAACGTGCGCCTGTTCTCGGCAACTACTCTAGTGGAGACGAACCAAAGCGACCGGCCATCTACCCTGGCCCGAGAGTCGTTTTCGAGTCACAAGCTGAAGGAACATAGACCAGCAGGTCTTCTGGTCGGATGTAAACAAGCCATTGCAAAGAGAGTGAGGCTGGGCGCTCTATCATGAGGATGAGAGGTTAAGGGGTAAGGATTGATCAGCTGAGGATGTGGAAGAATGCAGGGTGCTTGTATCTCGCATGTCACAGGCTACTCTAATGTCTCGAAAATTACGGCCTCGTGGCTGCTGCATAGCTGAAACCACGTTTGCAAAGTGCCTTTTCCGCTCGAGTCCTCTTGCAAGACCCACAGATGATTGAAATCCCCTTGCTGCCAGACCAGAGGGCCAGTCACTATCTCCACTCAGACCAGTAACAAAGGGTGTTGTATGGTGTGACGCGTCAGCTCAGTCACATAATAGCACGTGACGTCTTGGCAGGAGAAGGATTTTTACACTGTATTTTTTAGACTATAGAATAGGAGAAGATAGGCGATCAATCGAAGCTATATTGAATAGCTAGCAAGGCAGTATTACGTAAGTAATCTGCTACGCTATGCGTAATAGTTGTAAGCCCGGATTTAATCCGCAGTGTTAGAGACTTCTATAGTAGGAAATAACAATTAGTAGTCTTAGTAGCACTAAGACAAACACTAAACAAGCTTCTATAAGCGCCTATAAGATTAACATATCGTTAATAGCTCTCTTATCGGCTAGTCGCCTCGGAGGAACTAAATATATTACTCTTCGAGGGCCTAACGACTAGGACCGCTAGTTTAAGCAAACTAAAACACATCTCTCTAAACATAAAACCTAGATGTATACTGATCCTTATATAAATAAACCGGTAGAACTAGCTTAGCCTATAATCCCTATACTAGACGCGGTACGTATACTAGTTAACCCTCTTTACTAGCAAGGAGTTAAGATAGCTATAAATATCTATAGGATCTAGTTAGCGGACTTCAATCGATTTAGGTTAGTACGTAATAAGTCTATCGAATACCTAGCAACCACTATAGACGTGCGTTACTATTTAGAAATTACTAATAACGACAATATAATAGTACTAACACTGCGTATTGTTCTTACACGTCTAAGGGACAAGCTTGCTCTAAATATACAATAGCAAAGAGCGATAGTTAGTAAGGAATTAGCTCGACTAATGAGTTTACGACAAGTTAAGGACCTAGAACAGTAGTATAAGGAATAGCTTAACCTATACAAGAAGATAAGGCGTATACAACACTTAGAACTAGATAACCTAGTAGTCTATTTCTATATAGTAGTTACAAATGTAGACGAAACCTATAGAAAGGGACTCTACATAATGCATTAGGCCTTACCTAATACTAATAACTTCCTCCAACTGATTAGTATAGTACGAGAATATGCCCGCAATATGCTAGGAGCTTCTACTAAGAAGGGGTTATTATTTAGTATTATCTACGAAGAAACAAGTAAAGCTAATGCCGCTCTTTAAGCAGCTAAAGAAAATAATAGTAAGAAACCTAATAAGAACAAGGGCCGCAGCAATAGTGGAAACCGTATACTAAAGACATATGCTAAGCTTACTAGTGTTAGTGAGAAGAAGGCATATAAGACCCGAGGCAAATGTAATATAGTTAACTACCGCCTACGTAACTAGGTTAAAGAGAAGGATAAGGACAACAAGTGGAAGGCTAAGCTAAAGTACTTTGAAAGCTATCTGCGTAAGAATAAGAGCTTCTGTCTAAGGCAGGCTAAGTTCTTTAAGGACCTACTAGCTATAAAAATTGCTTAGGAATACTATAGATTAGAGAGCAGCAACAGCGAGGATTCTATACTAGATAAGCTCTCCCTTGCCTGCTTCTACTATTCTAGTACGCTATTATTATTTGCTAGAGCAATTAGACCTACCGCCTACCTTAGTATAGCAGCATTAACAGAGTGGAATCCTTTTAATAGCCTAATATACGATAGTAGCTTAAACTGCAACATTATTAACTATCCTAGTCGCTTCAATTTTATACTACTTCTATTACTAGCCTCCTTAACTGTAGCAACTAGTACTAGTTACAATAAGGTAGTAGCTATCGGAATAGCATCCTTTACGGTTATAGCTATTAGTAGCAAGCCCCTACAGATTGAACTAAGGGAATGCCTTTATATCTCTAACTTCTATACTAACATTATAGGAGGTGCCTTCTTCTTCTAGCGTAGATTTAAGCACTAAGAAATCGATGACACCCTCTATAGCCTATAACACAAGCTATTAGTTAAGTTTATTAGACTAACCTAAGGAATACCCTACTTCGACATTGTTAGTAAAGTAGATAAAGCACTACTACTAACTAAGTAGCTAGTCGACTTAGACAACAAGCCGCTTAAATACCTATTCTGACTCCCCCTATCGTTATATATAACAGCTCGCCGCTCCGTACGCCTACTACTACTAAGAAAGCTTACACTTAAGCAAATACATAAGGTGTTTAGGCACCTAGGCGCTAAAAGAGCAGAAGAGCTAGTTAATAGGGTTGATAGGATAAGAAGGGATTATACACATAACAATAAGGTACTAAGAACACTACTGTGCCCTATATATATATAGGCAAAGGGCAAGAAGCTCATTTCTAGGAGGCTAAGGCACTATAACGTATCGATATTGACTCTATATAGACACATTGCAGCCGATTTAATGCAACTGGATACGGCCTACAATAGTAACTAGTATATCTTCTACGTATACGACTTAAATATAGGACTTTACTTTAGTTAGACTATTAGCAATCGAACTGAATTAACCTTGTTGTAATGTTAGAACTAACTAGTATCATTTGTACGCAGTATTAGAAGGGATATTATCTACCTATTATCCGACAATAAGGGAGCTATTAGTGGAATGCGCTTTCGGTCCTATTTACGCAATAACTATACTACCTAGAGGCTATTAGCACTATACACCCCTAAGCAAGATCTAGTAGAGCGAGCGGGCCGCACTATTATTAAAGTAGCTAGGGCCCTTATAATATATGCACGCTTTCTATATAAGCTATAGCTAGAAGGAGTTTATATAGATAGATAGATATTTCATTTGCCTATTGTAGTGCCTTTCGGCCTATGTAGGTCTGTTTCTATATATTGTTTTAGGTAGGAAACCAACTTAGTTGGTAAAAACCTCCCTCCTGTCCTATTTATAAGTGTTAATCTTCCTCGTTTCCTTATTTTCCTTCCTCTAGGGTATACTAGTGTTATAGTTGTTACCCTCTGACTACCTTGCCTGCTGCCCTACCCTTCTTTCCCCCTCTTCTTCCCTCCTTCTTATCTACTCCTTAGTTTCCCTTGCTAGTACGAATTATTGTATAAATCCCTATTTAATAATCCACTTTACTATTCTCTTTAGGTCTTCTTTACTCTAGATTAGTTTGTCGTATTCCCTTTCTATTGCTTTTAGTCTCTAATCACTTCTGCCTTCTAACTATTAAGGGCAGACTAGCAGCATATACTTAGGGTTCTAAGATTGGTAGCTACATTAGTAAGCTCTGCTTTTAATTCCTAGGACGTTTCTTCTAAATAGGTAAGATCTAAGTCTAATATATTTAGATCTGATTTAGATAGCTAGGCTTGCCTCGGCCCTATTTAGGTCCTTATAGAGCTAGTAGTTGTATTAACTAAATTTGATTAGTGCCTTTAGGGTTCCTAGTCTAACTTGTGTTTTGTTCTATTCCTGCTCCTATAGGTATCTAGCAATTAATTCTACTAGGCTTTGTTTCTCTCCCTTTATATGAGAAGGGTATATTAGCAGGTAGATAGGGTAGTAGTAGGTACGAGTAGTATTCGATAGAGAACTAGGAGGAGAAGGAGGAAGGCAGGCCAGTTAGCCCAACGCTAAGCGCTAAGCCCTGCCTAAGGCACTGAGACCCTAGCTTCACTCGAGCTAGTTACATACTAATCACGTATAGCCTCTAATACACGCTTCCCTTCTAAAGGCCGCGCCCTCGTAGCCTTTCTATATTCCAACCTCGACCTCCGTTACTGCTAACTTAGCAAGTCTAATAAGCTGCTTAGCCGCGCTAAATTAAACACTCAACTACCTAATTATGTAACTATGTTAAACCTTACTTTTAACATAATGTCTAACTCTAACTGCGCTATCCCTATATATAATAAACTATAAAGTGATATATATCTACAAGAATTGAGGGCCTTCGACTAATTATAATACGAGCGCGTCTTCCCTACTACAATAGGTAGACGTACGAGGTATTGCAGCCCTGCCTCCGCTCTGCGTAATGTCGTACCGAGTTCTTTGCCTCTACTCTTAAAAGACCTAGCAATGTCCGCTTCCGAGGGTTTGTCCGTTCCGAGGGTGATTGTTCTTGTTGTTCGTAGTTTCGCTAGCCCTAATTAGCTAGGTTTAGCAGCCTTTAATTGTCAATCTTATCTTATCTTTTCCGAAAAAACACAGCTCGTCTAGTTTCTATAAGTAAAGGCTATTGTAAGTGCAGTAGTAGAGGTTCGCCTCGCTTGAAGGGTTAGATAGATCGAGGAGTAACCTATTGTCCGCAAGATCGACCCCGGCTAGCTTAGCTCTATAGTTTTGCCCTTAGTTAGTTAGTCTATTAGTCGCTCAATCTTTTAAGCGGCTCAAAGTTTTGATTAAAGTATTAATTAAAGGTGCCTTAGGCTCGTAGTGTAGGTAAGGTTGTGCCCGTAGGCGTAGTAACAATAGCAAGTAATATTAACAATAGCGGTACTAGCCGTCTTAGCGCCAACTTTACCTTGCTTCTAATTTCCTTCTTTAACTAATAACAACTCGGCAATACCGTTACTAATATAGCCGTGTCCTTCCTTTCTTAAACAGTAACACACTCCGCAACACTATTACTAATATAGGCGTATGCCGTTTCTTCTAATACACCGCCGGCACTATCCGCTACGCGCGCGCCTTCGCCGATCGCTTAGGCCTCGAGGCCTCGTTAGAATAAGGGAACAAGAGGGGGACCTATAGGGCGCGTTAGTAAAGAGGTAGAGCCCTTAAAAGAGCATGCGATTAATTGATTAACGCGTCGTAGCGCGCCTTATATAGTCTTATTGTCCTTTGTTGCTAACAATTGCTTGCCTCTAATTAGTTAGCTAATAGCACCCCGGGGGTAGCATTGTTCTAGGCCTTAATAGTAACATTATAAGCTTTTGGCCTTCTTCTTGTTCTTTACGCTAGTCCAATACTTATCTAACAACTCGGTTATGTCCTTAAAGGATCCTTTAGCTTCCTACGAGTCCTATTTAGGTAAATAGCCTTGCTACCTTAGGAGGTATTCCTTCTTGCCTTTCCTAGTCCGGTGCTATAGGATGCGTTCTATAGACTATAGTTCTTCACTATTGGCTAAGACTTCTTCTAACTCAGTAGGCGCTTCATCGCCTTCGCGTTAATAGTATAG